AAAAGCAAAAGAAAATAAAATCTGTAAGGGGGAAAATACTGTTTCCCGGCACTGCAGACTTGGCTGTATGTACTTCATAAAAATGTTTTTTTTTTGTTTTTTTTTCTTTTTTTGTTCCAATGGTATTTGTTTACATGTGTTTCTGACTTTTTTTTTTTTTTTTTTTTTTTTTATCTTCACAGGACGAGAACATCATGAACTCAATGCAGCTATTTGAAAACGTGATATAAAACAGAGCCGGATTCTCTCAGTAGTTTTTCCTCAGTTAGCACGTCTAATTACTCAGCCACCTCACCCATACCGCAGGCTCTGCACTAACACTTAGAACCACAACTGAATTACAACATAGGCATTGTAAAAACACAGGAAACACTTTTTTCTGCACTCCTTCAGCTGCATCAGGAAACTGTCCCTGGATATTAAAGGACTGCTGCAGAGACGTGATCAGCTCGCTGGGTGACACTTTCATCCACAACAGAAGAGTTCCTAGTGTTTCTGTCTTCAGAAAAAAGGATTACTACCTAAAATAAAGTAAAAAAATGAGACACGAACCGACACAAGTCTTAATGGAAGCAGCTTTACCATCAACGTACGCGCTCCTTTAGAGACAGAACCTTGGCTTGCTACTCAAGGTAGCGAGCCAAGTTTCAGGACAAAGACTTTTTTTTTTTTTTTTATCACACCAAACAATGAGAACTAATGCATGTTTGAAATATGTGACGTTGGATTAGCTTGCACTACAATTTTCTGATCATGTATAAAGGCCCTGTAGATACCCACACCTTACTCACCACTGGTGGAAACCAGTGTGTTTGTATATATGTATAGTTAATAGTTACATATCCTGCATTGAGTTGGTATCATCTGTGCTGTGCTGGATGATGAAGCAACACCAGAACCTGAACATTTGTTGAAGGCGTTCCTGTCTTATTTTGTTCCTCTTAATGTTTAGCAAATTGAATTATTTTAAATGTTTATATATTTCAGTGATATCAAAAATTATGTTAACAGTTTGGTAGGAAAAGGTGATTCCTAGAGTACTGTGGACAAATAACTGACTGTTTTTATGCTGAATTAAGTCTGTAGCATGATGGTTCGGTGTACACGAGCATGCTGACTCAGTCGCACAGTAAAATGTATGGCGTAGTTGGACCTTTGTGAAGTCACTCTATTAAAGATCCGCAAGTTTCGCCAATTTCACTGAGTTTCAAATTCTGTTTCTGTGAGAAAATGTTTCAATCAAACAAACATGGATGATGGTCTTTTAAGCAATACTTCAGTCAGGTGAGGGGGATCAACATGACTCACTTGGACCTGCAGTTCTTCTCTTTATGGTTTTTAACTCCTCAAACATTTTATTTTTGAGTTTTTATAAGTGAAATAGGTCTTACTTTGCACTCACAAAAGCTTTCCACCTTTTGTGCATACAATAAAAACTATAAACCTTTGTTATTCTTTCGTGACTTAATGACCAGTTTTAAGTTATGCATAATGGTGAAGAGGAAGGAAATCAAAATTGCTTTAAAACAATGTTTTTCACTTGAAACCCAAGGAATATGTTTGTATTCAACACCATGTTTTTTTTTTTTTTTGCACATTGAAAAAAGCTGTTTCCTGCAGTATTATTGCATTCAGTGGTATTTAGTTGTTTGTTTCCTTATATAAAATAATAAATAAAAAGAAAAGATAGGCTTTGTATTTTATTTGTTGAATTTAGGATGAAAGTATGTTGGTCTCTATAATTAATCTTGTTCCGTTTATGTACTCAATTTGTTTTTTATTAATTTAAATGAAACTTTATGTTATTTTTCAGTTGAATGTTGAAAATCAACATAGCAAAAATATATTCTTTGGAAATTATGTTGTACTGAAAGTTAGATATAAAAGTTACACAGATTAGTTTATATATTCTGCAGTCTACACACTGGATATGCCTTGATGTGATAAAAATCAGCAAAAATAAATGCAAATTATACATTTTAGTCAGTATAGAAGGAAATTCTAAAACAACACATAAACTTAAGGGCTTGGTTTTAATCTGCATAACTCTCCCACATTTGGATTTTTACCTTCAGCAAATTGCAAAGAAACCAGAATACCTTGTGAGCCATGTGCAAAGTCCTGTAAGAATGCTGGCTGGATACTCAAACTCTAATCTTTTGAATAAAAGCTTGTGTGATTTGGGACAATTCTTTGGTTAGAATAAATATCTGTGACCCAATATGTCCTCCTGAGATTAAATGAAATTAGCTGCTCAGGGGCCAACAATGTTCACAGTGTTGAGAAACTGAAAGAAGTCTGAAGTCAGTTCAGATTAAGAAGATTTAAGCAGACTAAAATCTATGGGTGTCCATATAAACTAGCCAGAGACCTTCCTGGAGAAATGTTTTTAAGTCAGACTAGATAAAGATCTATTTAGTCACAAAAGAAATCAAGCTGAGGCATTTAAACCTAAGAACGCTGTACCAACTACACGGCTGCCGCAACATCCTGCTCAGGGACTGCATCATACTATAGGGCTGCTGCCATGGGAACCAATGCACTGCAAGAGTTAATAAAATTAAGGGTTGGTGGATTCCCCCTAGATGCAACAACAAATGGATACCAACATAAAAACTTGTTCTGGAAAGGATAAAGCAAGCTGACATTGGTCTTCTGGACAGGTACTGACAAGCCTCACCTTTAAACTTTATGGATTTGCCTTAAAGGCAAAACCAGACAGTTTAAACAGACACCAACACTTCTGAAAAATGGGTTGCTATGCTACAAAAAATGTGTAAAAAATTTGCCAAGGTAAATAAGATGATATACCAATGGAATGAGTAGATATGATTAGTAGATATTATGCACTTGAACTAGGAGAATGTAGTTGTTTTTGTCTTGTTATAAATGTAATTGGCCTTATTCTATTGACAAAGAAACTCTCTCACCTGCTTAATTCAACAAAAATTGCAATTAAATGACTTACTTTGACTTTATTTTTTTTTTTCAGTATGGAACAATCAAGCTGGCTAATCACTCCAAAGTTATTGTGTTTTATCTTTAAGTGGGAGACATAAAATTGTAATATTAGTAGGGATGCATGTGCATTTGAACCTGGTTGTGTAGCTTTCACTCTGTATTGGTTCAAAAAATTCTCTAAAAAAGAAAAGCTAAAACCATCTTTAACAGCCCAAAATTACTTTATCTTTACCCATGATGGGTTTATAGAAATGTTTTTGAGGTTTTTTTTCTTTATTTCAAATAAAACTTTAAAAAATGTTATTTGCATGTTTATTAATTCATTGATGAACGTGTTTTTTGCTTGAACTTCGAAACACAAAAAAACGTGATTGATGTATTATTACTACTTTTTTGACACTTTATAATTCGAAAATTAATATGGTATTCATGCCTATGAAAAGTGCATGTAAAGCTCTAAATAAGAATTATCAATTATTATGCAACACAAAGTCAAATCGAAAGAGATGCAAAAAAAGAAAAAGAAAAAATGCATCTGCATTGATCTTGGTCCTGCCAATTTCGTTATGCCACCAATGTGTCAACCTAATGGAAGCAGTGCAGTGAAATAACCATTTGGGGGCAGTGTGGCTGAATACATAACATAAATTCACAGCATGATGCGGGCAACAGGACCCTCTGCCATTGGTGAGAGGTTCTAGCGTTTGCTCTTTTCAAACATCTACCCAACAGCAGAAAAAAAAAACTAGAAGGCTTATGCAAGAAAGGTTATTATTACAGAAAGCTTTACTAGGCTCAGTCTGACATCCTCACAGTAATAGAGGCTATGTAACAACCCCGCGCTTCTGATTGGCTAAGCCTCGACTCAGGGGCGGGGATAGATTGTGAGCATGCGTAGTGACGTCTATCTTCAACACCCGTGGCTTTATGAAAGCCGACATCGCTCTGGGGGCAATAGTCGCACATTCACAAGGTGTTTCAAAACGCCTCAGAGGCATTTTATATAAATAAACAAAGCCGAGGAGTCAAGGCTGCTCTCCGAGGACTCAGACTTACCTCGCCGGGGTTTTTTTTTTTGTGTGTTTGAGCTGCTGCTCCCTGGCTGATCGCCTCCCGCCTCTGCGAGCTACAACAACACAAGCCACGGGGACGTAACGCTAACCGAGAGGGAAGTGGGCTCCGTCTTCTCTATCATCGGTCAGGTGTGTACAAAAACGAGCCATTTTTAATCCTCTGTGACGGATTAACTTAACAGGTGGATTTCAGTTGGCACAATTTCAGTGAGAATCTTTTGTTTTGGTCGCAGTTAATCTGTTGAACCAGCGGTTAACTGTGACCAGCTGCCGTTTAAAGATGTTTAGGTCTCTCCTCCAGTTAATGAGGGGAACACTGAGTGCTTGCGTGACCGTGGATCTGCTGATGCTCCACTGTGACCGAGCAAATTTAGGCGCACATGTTCAACCCATTTAATTAAATACTTTCCATTAATATGGTACCAAAGCAATCTGGCGGTAGCTCAAATTAAATGAACGTATGGGAGTGAAATTAAGATGCTTTTAGTGAGTTTAGTTAAAACATGTATCTTAATATTTGATCCAAAGTGTCCATTTCGATCAAATACAAAAAAGTAAAGGGATTGGTAGAAGTCTGTCATTGTAATATGGATGCATTTCTGCAAAATCTCGTTCTGAAGAAGTGCAAGGTGACGGGGGAGAGGAACAACTCTTTTATTAACAGGTAACCTGCAGTAGAATCAGGCTGTGAATAACCCAACATCTGCCTCAACTGGGAGCTAAAGGTTAAGAAAAACAAAATGAACCCTGATTAAAAAGGGAATGACAGGCTCTATTTTGGTGACTTAACCCCTGTTTCTGTGTCGTAGACCTCAACAAATAATGTCATTCTATTATCATCTTATGGAAAATTCTGATTTGTGATTAAAGTAAAGTAAATTATGCTAAATTGACCTAATACTGGTTAGGGGTGCTTTAACTGCACTGCTGCAACTAGATGGTTATTGTTATTGTTGAATATATATATATATATATATATATATATATATATATATACCTTGAAAACCAAAGAAAGGGGTGCTCTGATATTTGAGCGCATGCTTAGTTTGCATGCTAATCCCATGTAAATTGGAACCAGGTTGTAGGTATATACTTTTAAAGCTTTGGTCGTGCATTTAATGTTTTAAACAGATGATCTGTTTGGTTTAAGGCACGGTATACTCATTTATATTTTTATTTTGGGTACTTCGCAAGTTTTAGGAAATTTATTTTCAGCACTTAAACTTAGTCATAACTTTTTTTTTTTAATAAAACAAAATTATATATATATATATATATATATATATATATATATATATATATATATATATATATAATTTTCGATCCAATATCTTTAAGAATTTGTGTAAAACTGAATGTTATAAAATTATGTATTTTAGCTTTCAGATTGCTCCACATCTATTCAGTATAATTTATCTGTTCTTTCAGTGCTTTTTCAAAATAAAGTCTCAGCTTATGGTAAGAATTATTGGAAAATAGATTTTGCTCTGTAAAGACCTTGAGAGCAATGGAAAACTACCAGCTATTCAGATGGCTGCCCCTGTTGTGGCTGATTTTCTAGTTAAAACCCACTAAACTACTACAAGAAATGAGGTTGACTGACCCTTGCCTAATCAGCTTAAGTGATCCTGAGTTAGCAGGGATAGTTTCCAAACGACTTAGTGTCCTGAAAAATGCACTAGAACGCACTACCTTTAATGTTGCTGCACAGACAACAACCAGTCAATATGCTTGCACCTCTTTTGGTGGACCAAGGATTAGCCAGTCAGGTGAATTATTATAGCCAGCATCCCAAGTCAGGTTAGTAGCAGCACAGAAGGTGTTTGGCTGAGAGATGCTAACAATTTGGCCTTCTGGTGTGAAACTCTAGTTAGTTACAGTTAGTTTTCACTATCGTACCTCTTTATCAAATGTGTATCCCCATCTCTGTTTTGAGCTGCTTTAAATAAATAAATTCAACTCAAACAGCTAATTGGCTTTAATAACCATTACTCTTCCAGTGAGGATTTTAGTATTCTAGAAGCTTGCTTCAGTCCGACAGCCTCTAAATAAAGTGAATGAGATCTGATATTGACTTCAGATTTCCTCCTTAAAAAAAATGGAGCTATCATTTGAACATTTTGACTTAAACTGTGATGCTACATTCAGAATGCACCTGCTGGATGCAGCAGAAGAAGCTAGTTTACATGCAAAGTCAATGGTTGAAGCGCATGAAGGCACAGCAAAATGTCCTGCAGCACATTTTGAGCTGCGGGAACAGCACGTATGATCAGCCGAAGCACCGCGTCATGAGCTCCTGACATCTGACTCGCTGGACGCGCTGCAAAAGCAGCAGTCGCAGCTGCTGGAGTTGGAAAAATTAAACTTTTGCTGCTCAATGCGCCACAGCAACCAATTGGAGAAGCTGATCTGGGAGACTGACGCGGCATCTGGCCCCTTTAATTTAAATCTAGTCTAATGAAGCTTACCCTCTTATTGCACCTTGAGATAATAAACAAACTATTAGATGCAGTTTTGTACCCAGAAATTGTTAAGATAACATATTTGCTCTTTAGCTTTTTTTTTCTCCTTTTCACAAGGACTCACATGTACCTCTGGAGGTACATTTCACCCAGAAACTGTGACTTATCCATGTGTTGTTTTATGAGACAAACAGTACTCAAGGCTTTAAGATACTGGACACTTTATTTTGACTCTAATTTTCAAAACATTTTCTTCAAAAGTTAGTCAAGATTCTTCAAGATTGATTTTTCCAAGTTATTTTTGTGATATAATTTTGATAAAGATCAGTAGCGCTTATAAGAAAATACCAAACTGGCTATTAGAAATGGCCTCAAAAGATTAGAAACCCATTAGGATTTATTTTCTTAAAGTTCTGTAGACCTGACCAGGCTGTTGTTTGCCTGTGTTTGGTCCCTGCATGTTTACATATGCATCAGTAATGAGCTTCCTGCTTTTGGCCTTTTATAATCAGGGTCATTAGGCAATGATAAGATGGAAGGCCACAGTAATGTTATACCATGGAAGCTGTACTGGATCCATGGCCAGCTGAAAATAACAATCCATTAAATGTTTTAGTTCCTGCAATGTATAAACACATGGCACAATGATGAAAATGTAAACTGTTTATAATTTCACATTTTTAAGATTTTTCTGTCTAAGAGTGTTATTTATTTTTATATTTGCACATGAAAAGATGTGCAGTCAGTCCCTTTACAATTAAGGAAAGCCTGTTTAGAAGCCTTGAAGTTTTAATTTTTAGTAGTAATTACTAGTAATTAAATGGTGGGTTTTAATGAGTAATTTTTGAATGATCAGGATATCGGTTTGTTGGCAAGTGTTACTATTTACTATTAATTTTGAAACTGATCCAAAAAAACAATCTCTGTGTTGTTGCAAAAGGACCGCAAAACAATAAAAGCAAATATACTTTCTAGATCTTATAATATGACTTAGAAAATGGTACCAAGCTTTGAACAGCTGGATGCTGGTGTCTCTCCCCAGAGGTCATGGGGCGACCGGCGTAGTACACCATGGACAAGGCAGCAATCTCTCAGACCACAACATAGAGACATTTAGGTCAAATAACCATGCACACACAGCCACACATACGGCAATTTAATGAGACCAATTAACCCCATTCTGTGCAGAAAGCCAGGTTCTTCTCATTGCAAGGCAGCAGTGCTAACAACTGCAGAAATGTGCAGCCCGATCACAAAATATGTATCTTAATTACCTCCTGGCAACTGTTCTCAAACAACAGGGTTTTTTTTCTCCTTGCAATGGAAAAAACTCAAAACGTATGATTAACTTTTGGAGCTTTGCAAAATAGTTTATTGTTAATATTTCAGGACCATGGATGACCACAACATACCCTCCACCCTGTTTTTATAGACCCTGAATTAGATGTTGTGTAAAATTCTGCAGCCACAGAAAACTCTTGTAATTGTGTCACATGGATCAGTCCCAGTGGTTTCTGGGACCACTACTTCTACATAATTTTGGTAAAAATGGCTGTTATGTCCTTATATAATCATAATTCAGATGTACCGTATCTTATATCCCTACTAAAAAGCAGCTTGGGCCAGCTATTAACAGTGACTTAACTTGATCATGTTCATCCTTAGGAATGGATGTTTTTTCTTTCCATTTTTTTCTGCCATTACAAATGGGAACAAACACATCTTACTGACTCTTTTTATTCTGGGGCGGTCCAACAGATTCCAGTTGTTTGCTTGCAGAATGATTTAAAGCACATCTTGTGGTTCAAAATACCTTGTGACATTATCAGTGTAAAACGCCATGGCACTGGACATTGACTGCTGAAATCTGTGGTCTGGCCATTAGGAATATGTTCAAGTTATGTTGTTGCCCTTGGTAGTGTCGCTTTAAAAACTCAGAAGTGTCGTGGTGTAGATCATCCTGACACACTGATGAATGAAAGTTCTGACCTGAGGACTCAGCACCCTCTACCCTCATGTCAGCAGGCTGAAGATACTATATGATGAGTGGGTGGGATCACATGCTGCTTTCATCATGCATTGGAGCCTGAGGAGTTGTGTTGCAGAAGGCGGTGCAGTTTCCATACCACACCCATATGCAGCTGGACAGGACGGCGCGCCTGTCAAATCCCACAGGATGTCAAAGAAATGGAGGCACAGGGGAGCCCTCTTGGTCATCGATGTAGTGTCTCAAGACAGGTCCATTTTTAGTGTTTGTTTATTTTAGATCCTCTCTGTAACCTCTCTGAGTCGGCACAGCTCGCATGCCAGATTAAGGTGACTGGGTAACAGAAATCTGGTTTTGGCTCAGTTTTCTGTTGGCAGCATGTGACTTGGATCATGCTGTGTCAGTGGGTCAGGGACCGCCTTCCCACTCTACTGTAAAGTTGTAAGCCTGCGCAGCTGTAGTATTACAGTGTTTTGGTCCCTGCAAAGTGGCAAAAGTCAACTTCTGTTGTTGTTTTGATTTCTGCTGTTTATAATATTTACCTAAAAAGCAAAGAATTTCCCACTCAGTGACTGTAAATTGTTGATCTTTTTTTTTTAGCTCTAGGTTGTGCTGAGCGATTAGACAATTTATGGAGGCTAATCATAGGCCATCAAAGGTGTAGGTGCTTTCTCCTCAGT